GCAGTATGTCATAGTGAATAGCGTGTCTACCACAAACCGAGTTCGAGTCCCGCTGTGGGTGCCGGTGTTACCGAGTTAGGCAAGGTTGAAACTGCATTCCAGTTGATTCGGGATGATAACACCTTAGGGGAGCAAGGAGGTGCCAAATTCAATGGCACAATCAAACGATTGTTGCAAACGTCAGCTACCAATCCCTTAACATCTTAACCTGTAACCTACATCCTCCTAAACATGTCATAATTTGGACGAAATCCAAGGTCTATTCGAATACTGGGGTTCTGAAAGGGTTCTAAGAAATTGGCTTCAAATCGTTTCGCTCCATCTCCGACGTTGTTGCAGGATGACGGAACTATTGGCGCGTAGGGATCAGCGCCGCCTCGGGTCCGAAAGCTACAGAAGCAGAATGACTAAGCCAATTCGCCATGGCGACCGACTTGCCAGAGCTCGGATATCGACTAGCAAGCGTTTACATCGTAACAAGGTAACAAGAAAATAGGCCCCCCTCTTTCCATACACACTCACACACACACACACACAGACAAACATAAAAATGCACACTCCAACACGGTAAACGAAGGGGAGGCCGATGGGGGGCACGAGCAGCCCAGGCTCCAAGTTGGAGGTAGCGATGGCTTGCTGTGGAGAGAAATCTACAAGTTGAAACAAAACACAAACACACAAACAAACACACACAAAAATCCAGACACACTCACACGTACAAATTGACAATTTCACCTTCTTGCCCAGACGAAGGCAATCAAGCTGTCACGGTTGCTAGCGGAGATGGGAGGGGCCCAGCCTTCAGGCGGGCGAAGCGATAAGACCGTCGCACCGTTCCAGCTCTCGAGGCAGTAGTTGGCCGCAACAACAGCTCCTCTTCATTCCGTTGCATTCACAACTGCTTCGTCCGACTGCCAGCCTCCTTTTGCCCATTGCCACACTCGCGCAGACCAACGTAAACACACCAGCCATCTCGATTACGCAAGCGGACATCACACTCCCCACACACACAAACACACACACATACACACCAGAGGTAGACAGACAAAGATGTGCACTTTAGTCTGCTCATTGAAACCGTCTCTAGGATCGGACGGTGGAGGGACGCAGTTGCAAATGAATTGGGAATAAACAGCCGAGCCGATGTTGCCTACGGGGCTGTAGATAAGGCGTTCGGCCGTCACAACAGCACAACAAACTGGCAAGAGGAGGTAGAAGATGAAGATGAACCTGGCAGACGTTGAAGGCCAAGACATGATGATGATGATGGAAACCAGATCAGGCGACCTTGTTGCCGGGTTGCGTGAGCAGGGTTGGGAGAGTTTCGCAAGACCTGACTTGGCCACCAACTTCGTGTGGTTGGGTCGGGAGTGGGAAAGGCCGGAATGGGTGACAATCAACTCGTTTGAGGCGACCTGATGGAGGGGGTTGGGGGGCGAGTGTGCGGCAGGATGGAGGCGTGGATGGATAGACGGTGTGGTGCAGAATACCGACGTCTTCAACCATGTACAGGAAGGGACAAGCAGCCACCAGCCCGGCGGGCGATGGGCCACGAGCTGCCAGTTTATGACCACCTGTTGGTATGCGGTAGTCACTACAGATACCAGCACAGCCGTAAACAGACTCACAATCAATTAACCCGGCCAGACCGAGGCGACGCGGATACCGGCGAACTTGTGATTGACGCCGGGGGGGCATGCAAAGAGGGCAATTCACTTCAAACCAGTTCATACCATCAAACATGTCGGCAACAGCTTTCCACTGGCATGTGTGTCACTTCCTGTCAGGCGAGCTTGTCTGAAATTGGCCCATTCTTTGCTCTTTATCTTCTCTAGTCCCACCAATTTCACAGGCAACTTATCCGGCCAGGCAAACAAAAGAGTCAAGGCATAACGAATTGGCATTATACAGAATAAACAAATGTATACATACTACTAACAAACAATAAGTAGTGCTACAAATAAATATACGAATTAAATATTACACTCTGCACTGTCATGCTTCGACTCCCGCTGGAGGTTTGATAAGACTCAGGCGAGGCGGAAGCTTCAATGCGCCCTGGAGGAGAATACATTTTTGGAAAAGCGAGGCCACGGAAACCCCTTATCACGCCTTATACACTTAACAATGGAGGTAAAAGTGGGTTGACCTCGTTGTCGCAACATGGTCTTGTTTTCAGGGAGACCATGTAAAACGCACCTAGTCCAAAGTCGTCTGCCATAGTAGTTGTCATGATTCCCAGCTTCAGACAGTCGACTTGGTACATTCTAAAACTTTTCGCCGGCATCGTAGTCGGCATCATCAGTCAGTTTTTCCATTCTCCGCACCAAGCTACGAACTCGTTAAAGAGACAAGTGAAGCCAATCCCTCGACAAACTTTCT